ATTTATTAGTATTCAAAGCAACATAAATACAGAAAGAATAGGCAAACAAATACAAATACAAAAAAAAAAAAAGAAAACGCACATAAAGAACGTTATGAAAAAAAAAAGAAAAAAAAATCAAAAAAGAGAAGAAAAGAAATACTTCAATCAAATACAAATCCTTAAAAATAAAAAAAAAATAAATTAAATGCCGAATCCGTGCAGATTTTGTTTTATCTTTTTCTTGGTTTTGCTGCCGCTATACATACCTGAACAGTACTACAACTCACCTTCTCCTTTCTTTTCTTTTTTTTCTTTTTTTCTTTTTTCTATTTTCTCTTTTCTCTTGTCACCTCTTTCGTTATTTTCTTTCTCTTCTTTTTCCTTCTCTCCTTTCCTCTTTTCTTTTATTTTTTTTTTTTCTTTTTCTGTTCTTGATTTTTTTAATTGAAGCAGACGATGGTCAGCTGTCTGTTTATTTTATTTTATTTCCTTTTCCCGTTTTCGTTGTTTTTGTTGAATTTCTTTTCCTTTCTCTTCTTCAATTGTTTTTGTTTTTTTTATTTTTTTTTTTTTGCATTTTTTATGGCTGCAGAAGAACCGCCCGACTTCATTTCTTTTTTCAGCTCATTTTAATCTCGTTTTATTTATTTATTTATTTATTTGTCTAACTCTCCATTTATTTATTTATTTATTTATTTTATTTATTTATTTATTTTGTGTATCTTTCCCCCGATAACTTCCCTTTCAATATACTTTATTTGCCCTCTTATTAAAACAATTTTTATTTTTTTAAATTTTGTTACTGCAGCAGCAAAATATAATATTTTTTTAATTAGATTTTCATATTATAGACTGACGCTGTGTATGTTTATTTAGTTTTTTTTTGTGTGTTACACTAGTTTATTCATTATCTATTTATTTTATTTATTTATTTATTTAATTGTTTATTTATTTATTTATAAATATATTTATTCACTTATTTATTATTTATAATTATTTTCTATAAAAAAACAAAAAACAAAGTCGATGCAAACAGAAGCTGAAACAGCAAATCAAAGAAAACAGCAAAAAGAGAAAACCAAACGCAAACTAAGTAAAAAACTAAACAACTAAAAAAGTAACATAAAAGTAAACAAATAACCTAAATAAATAAATTAAATTAATTAAATTAAATAAATAAATAAATAGAATTAAATAATAAATAAAGTCAAAGCAAAAGTGCACACCCCGCGATGATGC